ATATATATATATATATATATATATATATATATATATATATATATATAATATTTTGGTCATTCTTTTTCCCCTTGGATATTGACGTTTTCTTGGTTGAACTTGCTCTGCATAGATTGATTGGCCTGCTGCATATACTGGGCTAGCATTTCATTATTCAACTCCATCTTCATTGACTGTATATTTGAAATTAAAAGCCAATTAATAAATTAATTAAGTCGGATAGATACATGCGAATCCACTTGAATACAGGAACAAAATAACACCTAATTTGAACTCTCCATGTATCTGAACGTACCAAAATTTCGTATAAATTACTTACTTGGGCTAAAAATGCATTATAGGGGTCATTAAAAGGGTAAAATGAAGTGGTTGCAATATTGGGAGCAGTAGCTGCAGCTTTGGTGACTGTGGTGCTGGGGGCATCACCATAATTAGCTACTTGTGCGGCTGGTTGAGTATGAATGGCCGGGGGCATGCCAAATGCTGGAGACATGAAGGGATGACAACTAGGAGTGGCAATTGAAGTTGGATAAATGAGCGGAGATTGATAGGGAGCTCGAGCTAAATTAGCAGTCATATTGTTAATCATTCCTGCAGTGCCCATGCCAAGACTAAGATCACTCATTCTTGCTAGTAATGGCATTTGAATATGTGGTTGCATCATCATCAACATTTGTTGCTCCATGTTTTTAGCATAGCTTATCATATGAATTTGTGCTTGAAGCTGCTTTAAGTACTTTATCACTTCCTCCAACATTGATGCTTTATCTGTCTGCTGTACATACATATAATTATGTCATGAAAAAATTACATTATCCTATCTATGATCAGTTGGACATCCTTCGTCAGAAAATTATACTGTGTATATAGCTAGATCAAATATTACTGGTTAGACTTGCATATGTGGTAGTTACAACTACGTACCTTACTTGCATTTGGCACCAACTTCTGCAGAGCTTTCATCTTTTCGTTGATTCTAACACGGCGTCTCTGCACCAAAATTAAACAAAACAATGGGTAACTAGTGTGTTCATATAGTCATATATAAAAGGCCATTGCCAAGTTATAAATACTATTCATTCACTTTCTATAAATACACTAGCTAGCTAACTTGTCGTAAGGTGCATTAATTAAACCCAACATACCCGCTCTGACTGGTTATGAACAGCAGCTCTTCGACTACGTTTTGATGGGTTGGAGCTTTTTGTTTCACGTTCTAATTCCTCCTTGTTTTCCTGTCACAAGTCATCCGATATGCATTAGAGTTTGATAACATATATGTATTTGAAATAAGTATACATATCACTGCAAAATATAGTACTATATATAGTACAAGAATGTATAGTGGGACATTAGCTAGGTGACTTGACTAGCTACTGATATTTGCATTTGATCATCGTACTAGCTGGCTAGCGATCACTTTTTAACGAAGAGACATGACTGATTATTATAAGATACTTATACCATCCAATTTTTTTATTTAATTTAGCAAGTATGTAAGAAGTTTAATTACCGAGCCACCATGGCAGGCAGAATCCTCGTTACAAGGCCATGTTACCATGGTGATATCATTGTCCCTAGCACTTGCACGAGCGTTTAAATGCTCTAGTGATATTCCACCAATATATAATTGGGGGTCAGAATCTGATGATCTCATCCTCTTTAGTACTCCTCTTGTTTGTTGAGCACCATAAGATGCATTTTTGTCCCTGTTGATGTTTGCCTGATTTTGTCCATCACTTCCCATTATATAACTATGATTTTGTTTTTGTAAAGTGGCTTGATGCACGATTGACTCTAGTGTGTCACCAGCCTTTCCCCATGTGTGTTTTGTTTGCTCATTGGAGAGGTTGCTTCCAAGTCTATGCATGGCTACTTGCCCATTTTCCCATGTTAACTCTGCAACTTCACACTTATTGGACCTGAATTTTTAGATATCATATTAGTAGAAAGAAAGAGATGTTGAAGAAAAATGTTACTAGTAGCTAGTATAATAAGAACATACATGGGGTCAACTTGATTCTGCTGGTTATGCACGTGGCTACGAGGATATCTGTTCTCCTCTACTTCTTTTTCTACTACTTGTTTTTGGTGACTAAAATTCCAAGTATGATGACTCATGTTGATGCCTTTGATAGGGTCTACCCTTATAAGTTCTCAGTTACTGCCAGTCCTAATATATTGAGTTGGCTTTCCCTCTTTTATACTAAAAACGTATTTCAGTATCTTCTGGTCCCCTACAGGATTGTCATATTTAGCTGAATATTTAATGTATGCACACTATGTGTTGTAGCAATAAAAGCCTGGATTTCAAATGGATAAGTTTTGGCATCTTAGATGATAGAACTCTAAAGAATGAAAGAGCAAAAATTTTATCCACCTAAAGATCAGGAACTGATTTCTTCATTGTAATTAGTAACTTCCAACAAAGATATTTTCCTTTTTGATGGGGTTAAAAACATTCAATACGTTCAAATTTGCCACCTCTCTATCTGACTTTGGTTGCTCTGACTATTGATGCAACAACTATTCAAATAAATTGACAACATTTTAAAAAATATAATTAATTTCAATCACATAGAAGTTATGCCGACTTCATAAGATGAGGTGGGGCTGGTACTTTGTAGTTATCTTTTGTCACTTTCATCCCTGAATTCGTATAAACATTAGAATAAAGTTCTAAGCGCTGTTAGATTAAAATTTGGTATCCTTAGTATAAGTTAATGTAATTACAAATTTCTTACTGATAACATCAGCACTTTTGTTGTTACATGTCATTCACTTGCTAGCTTATGCACCAGGCAGATGCAGTGACAACATGTTTTCTCTAAGTTGGTATGTTTTGTTGTGAATCAAACATGTCAAAGTGTTTTTGCAACACCTTGTCATCATGTAGAAGATTTTACTCCTCATTTATGGGATCCCTCGTATTTAGGACTTCCCAAGTACCTCCAAGTTTGTCAACTGGATTTAAGTTATATACACTGATAGCATAACAAATTTTACACTGTTTCTGTAGTTTAACATGACATAGTAGGTTGGTTATCATTTTTACCAGCTTGTCAATTAATTTTAGTTATAGAGATATACCGGTAATTACTTTGCAAGTGACATGATTGTTGTGTCAAACTTAAACTCTTGCCAATTATGCCACTGGTTCTGGAGACATGTCAAGTCACAGTTGAATCTGGATAGACATTTTGAATGTTCTTAACGACAACAACAAACATTTCAACTTATACTGCACTCTATTGTAAGTTCTTAATTAGACATGGTCTCATGTAGGGAAGTCAGGTGGGCACCCATAATCAATTCGACAGAAAAGGATTTACCTACTAGACCTGTGTGATCAATAATTTTGTAGTATTTCTTGTTTCCATGTGATCCATATTAATTGATGTCTCAGATATTGATATACGATACCTGGAAATTGCACGGCCACACTTAGATGTTGAAAATGGGGTTTATTATGGATCTACATCAATAGTTAAATAGAGACAGTTCACAATCAGTTTTACCATTCAAATTCTTTGTAGAGGGATTATTTCTCTTCATGATTGGGATGCAAGAAGGCGTGTCTTGGAGTAATGAGAAATGTTCTACGTTTCTACATGTGAGCAAGGTTTGAATCTTGGAGCCAGCCTTTCTTAGGCCATGTCGTATGTCTTTTAAATACACATTTAAAACTATACTATGGTTAATTGATATGTATTCTCACTTTAATCTTTAACCGCTAAGGTTAGATTGCTTGGTTTGGTGTAAATACCGGGTACATGTAATTTACCGAGCACTAGGGTCAGCCTAATGATTGAGATAGAAGTCCCTGTCTCTAGCTAGCCCTGCTGGCTTCTGAGAAGCAAAATTTGTGGTTCTAATAACTCTTCCCGTGTGAGCTATAATTCTACCGTTGGCATTTTGTTTGAGACAGCCGGTTGGTCACATGTTACTGTATTGGTCCATCATCAGGAAAAAAAGGGCCACCTTTGAATTCTGCATGCTCATTAGCATACATAGATTATCGAATGAAAATGACAAAATTTTACGTTTTGAGAAATAGTGAGTGTAGTTTGTCAATCGAAGTTTATGAATGTCAGCAGAAGCAGGAGACAGCATGTTGTTTCAGAGGTTACAAAATATGTCAAGAAGACCTCTATTGGTTGTGTATGAAAGGGTTTAGCCTATGGAAATATAGATTCTTCCAGGAACCAGTAACGCATAAACATGTCAAACCAGTGATAGATTTATACCAGTGTTGAAACACAGAACAATAGCAGCAATTATCACTTAAAACACTTGATTGGTATGAGTTGTTTTTGCTTTCGATTACATACATTTCATCTAGTAATAAAATGCAGCATAACAGGATTGATGCATTTTCGATTGTTATAAACCAATCACTGCACACTGGGGCAATAATTCTTAAGACAAATTTCAATATAAAATCAATGAGTTGAGTACAATTCTTGTGTAAATAGAGTACTAGAGGATTCATTTTCCGGTGTAGTACACTTTTTTTACAGTTAGAAGCAGTAACATGTAACAGGTCCAGTCCTTGTTGATCTAATCTTATTTGATTTCTCTTTCACTGTGGTTTCTTCATAACTTCTTTTCTCTTCTGCTTGTGTTCTTGCTCCTTTGGCGATATGATCAATCCTCGCTAGTTTGTTTTTGTAATGCTGCAAGTTCCTTTTCAAAGCAAGCTCCACTTGACTCTGCAATTTCACAATAAAAGTCATTTTAAGCACTAAGCATGTTGCACTATTACAGATTCAAAACTTGGAGAGTACTAACCTTTCTCCTTTCCATTTGTTGTTTTGCCATCATCTTCTTTTCGTTCTCCCAAGCAAGAAGCGCAGAAAGAAGTTCATCATGTCTGAAATTTGAGAATATTTCTTATTAAGATGCCACTAATTACAATATGTCTTGCAACAAAAAATTTAAAAAGTGTGTTATAGGTGAACTGAAATCATAAACTTCTATAACATAAAGAACAATCAATAATAAAACTTGTACCGCTTTCTTATTTTGGCTATCTGAGCTTTCTCCCAAGCATCAGCTTTGTTTTCAGCATTTCTGCTAACTCTTGAAATCCCCTTTTGCATTTTATCATTAGCAGCAGGAGTTATGGTCACTATTTCTGCTGAAGTTTTACGATTCATCGTGGATGTCCTTCTCATTGGAGCTTCAAATAGAACATGTTAAGCAATTTATCCTCATGATATCTTGCTAAGGAAAAAAGACTTTTAAGTTCTATGCTCTTGCAATGTAAAAGATATTTACACAAACAAGTCACTAGCAGAAATAGTAACTAACATGTTAGGAGTACTAATAATCCAGGGAGAATTATGTATACAGTGTTGACATTTACCTGCTTCTGCTGGCATAATAACAGGTCTTTTTGTTTTTGTCTGATATTGAGAGCCAGCATTTTCCTCAAGGGAACATATAGCAAACGCGGTAGCAGCAATTGCTGCTGCAAATTCTCCATCACCCAAGTCATAAATGTTCCTTTTCATCTGGCTAAACAATTAGTATTACTGCAGGTTCCTGTTCCGGTGCCTGGTGCCTGGTGACGAAAACTTAGCTACTATTAAATCTTGTCTATGTGCATTTTTAGCTTAGACAGGACTAGTACTCTTTGTTTCTATTTTTGGAAAAGGCAAAGCTTGCTGAAGTTTATTTATGTCCTCCAAATGCTAATCCCTTTTTGATGACACTTTCTAAAACTTGAGAAAAAATTAAACAGAAAGTTAGTAGAGTTTACTTTTAAAGAGGGAGACTAATGTACTACATTTGCTGTTTCCAGCATTATACATAATCTTTGCAACTATGTTTGGTATAACTTCTCCAAAAGCAATAGACTTTTTCATCTTACTTTCCTAGTCATTCTTTTGTCAACACCCTAGTGGCGAATCAAGAATTTACACGTCCTGAAATGTATATCTAACTATATTTATTATTAGTAACTTTTTGTACATATATACTATAAGGTTTGATCTCGAATTAAAATGCTGGATTTTGCTAAATTCGTATCTGTGAATCCGCCACCATCCCAGTCCAAAAGAGATAGAGAAAGTGGGCTTAGGAAGCAAAGATAAAAAGACAAGCTTTAACCAAATTGACAGTCTTTTTTCTGTTTTCTTGATTAGTATTATTTTTAGTGTAAGATGGTATTGGAGGAAAGGTATGTCTTTGGTTTCTATTGTATGCTGCAGGAAAGGTATCTGTTTGGAGGTTTTTTTGTGTTGAAGTGGGCCTATGGTGCAATTAGGCCCAAGAGTTCAAATGGCTAAGTACTTTGGGCCTCAAGTAGGAAGGCCCAACTGTAATTTTACTGGACTAGACCTAAACAAGTCCTAATTGATCGTTGAATATTTCATGGCCCAAACAGGGATTAGCAACCCAAACATGGTATGGCCAGTTCAACGAGATATATTATTAAGGATAATTATGATCCTAAACACTTCAGCCAGCTCATTTGCAAAATATACACAAATTATAGGGGAATTAAAAAATTTTGATCACTTACAAATTAAATACTTTTTTTTTTACAATCACTTATGTGTAAAAATAACAAAATCATGTAAAAAAGGTCATAAAACTAAAAAGTATATAAAAATGGCCTACAATACCATCAATTATGATCATAACTTTATGAATAAAGACTATTGGTGTTTGTCTTTTTATATTCATTACTTTTTTTGTTAAATTAATTGACAAATACATCCTTTTTCGTACACAAAATTACTAAACTAATCTTTTATTTATTTTTCTTTATAATAACTAAATGAAATCTAAACAGTAAATATGAATATGCATATGTTACCATATTTCACTATAATACTCATGAAATTTTCTGACAAATAACACCACAATAACTTGTGAATTTCTAGTCTAAAAGGAGGACACATAAACACACGATAAATATAATATTGGACTAATAATACACTAAATTTAATATTAAGTAATTTACCATAGATCAATTCCCACCTAGCTTACTTTGGATTTGACTGATGTTGACGTAGTTGAACCAAATCCTACTCAGTTGTGATAAAACAAAGAAGTCCTACTTGTATAACTCAGCCGTTGTTGATTTCTTTTCGGCAGTCAGCCATTACTAACGACAAACTTTAAGCTTAAAGACACCTCACAACTGCAAATCCAACAAATAATTTGACTCTGCTCATGCAGTTGACACCTCATTCATTACAAATTTTGTCTATATTTCCTCTTTCTCACATCAAGTGTCTGGAACTTTAGTTTTGTAGCAAAAATCCCTTCATTCTTGAACGAGTGTTGCTATTTAACACCCCTACAAAAAGCTCCAAACTTTAGCAGGTACACTTTGAGAAATCTGAAACTTACCCTTTTCATTTCACACGCTTTTCTTGTTCTTTCCCCCCACCACAAGGTACTGGCAGATAAAGCTTGCCCCTTTTTGGCACAGAGGCTGCTGCACATTATCAGTGTTTGCTCTTCCTTTCATTTTGGAAATTGGGATCTAGTATTGTCAAATTCTTGTAGTGTTTGAGGTTATTTCTCATCTGGGTTCAGCTCAATTTTTTCGGTATGTCGAAAAGCTATGAAAGATCTTAGCTTGTTATTGTTTTGTATGCAATTGTTTGGTGTTGGTATAAGGGAGTTCTTGTGATTGTTGGATCTAGTTTTAGTTTGCTGATTTTGATTGGTTAGTTTTCATTTATCTTTTTAATTTTGAGTTTTACTATCTATATTTCACGATAAGTGTCCTTTAGTACTTACAAGGTGTAATTGGTTATCTGCACTTGTCCAGTTTTGAGTTTGAGCTTCTGTTATATCTGACCAAGAAAAGTAATTTGCTATGCACCCTCATTTCACATTAATGCTTTGTTAATCTGCTATTGATTTTTTGACATTATGTTAGGTTCATTTAATCCTATTAGAGTGGGTTAGAGTCCCACATTAGTTGGAAAATGGACTTGTGATATGCCTATATAGACTTAGTTTTTGGGTTGAGTTAGGCTCAACTGTCATATCGTTACAAATTCAATCTAGGGAGATTGTATTCATAGTTTTCAGAAAGACATAATATGTAAATTAGTTGTAGCTACCTCAATATAATGAAGGATTCTTAAATACGGAATGACAAGAAGTTAATTTTGTTTAGATATTTAATCAGTGAACTGCTAGCTTTATGATGAAATATCATGTTTTTCCTCATTGTCATTCATGTAAAAGTTCTTTTATTGCTTGTTAACCTTCTCTTAAACTCTTAACAATTATTGTATCCTCGTCCGTTACAGCTTATGCCTGTGTTCAAAGAGGGGTGAAGCTGAGTAGGATAAAAGCCAATGGGCTTCGCATCCTTCTTGTTAATCTTTCTGACACTTTGTCCTGCATTGGCACAAATAGTTGAAGATACAGAATTTTTGATTGATGGAACTGTAAAAATTGCTGAGACAGATGATAATTATGTTTGCGCTACCCTTGACTGGTGGCCTAAAGAAAAGTGTAACTACAACGAATGCCCTTGGGGCTCGGCATCTCTGATAAATCTGGTTAAGTTCTACTATTAATTGATATTGTGGGCATATATTGCTTTGCTAAAAGTCACAGCACAGTTAGCATTCATTATTTTTGTTTAATATTTTCAGGATTTGTCTCACCCCTTTCTGGCAAATTCTATTCAAGGTTTGCATGTTCCCATCATGTGATAATTTTACCTTAGTATTTGAGATCTTGTTGTTCTTACTTTAATTAACAAACATTGATTGGTAAACTCTATAACTTCACCTTAAACATCAAATGAACCATCTATTTGCAACAGTGAGAAAATTAGACTTGATGCTTCTTCAGAATGCTGATTGATTTCTCGTCTGTTCTGATTGCTAATTTGGTGTTGCAGCTTTCAACCATTTGAGATTACGACTTGGAGGTTCTTTGCAAAACCGAATAATATATGATGTGGGCAATTTGGAGTCTCCTTGCCACCCGTTTACCAAGCAGGGGGATGAGTTGTTTGGATTTTCAAATGGATGCTTACATATGGATAGATGGGATGAGCTAAATAGTTTTTTCAATAAGACAGGGTGAGTTATACTATGAAATAAATATAAGTGTACTCTCTCTAATGGTAGTCACTTCAACATGGTATTAGAGCCAAACAAAGGTCCTGATTTCAAGTCTTACCATCACTTATTAGCATAAACTATTTCCACGTGCTTGGAAAAGAAAAAAAGAGCATTGGGCCAGCATGTAAGGAGTGTGTTAAGGCATAATGAGATAAATAAAATTGTCCCCTACCTATTAATAGCTCAGTTTTTTTATGAGGTGGTCACTCACTTCAACAAAGTGAAGTTTATCCCAGTTTCACTGCTTATGCTGCAGAGCACTTGTGACCTTTGGCCTGAATGCATTGCGAGGGAGGCAGCGGACCAGTAAGCGTGTCTGGGAAGGGAATTGGGATTCCAGCAACGCCCATGATTTCATATATTACACTGTTTCCAAGGGCTACCAAATACACTCGTGGGAATTTGGTATAATTGCTAACAATTTCCTTCTCTCTTTTTTTGGTAAATCACTCTTGTTTAATAGAAGTTGGATTTCCTTAAACAATAGTCCCACTTGGTTTGCAGGAAATGAGTTGAGTGGTAAGGGTATTGGTGCAAAGGTTGATGCCGAACAATATGGAGAAGATGTTATACATCTTAACAATCTCATAGACCAATTGTATAAGCATTTTCAACCCCGACCACTTCTCTTAGCACCAGGAGGATTCTACGATAAAGAGTGGTTCGAGACGTTCCTTGAAGTGTCAGGGCCAGGCACTGTCGATGCCTTGACTCATCATATATATAATCTTGGTCCAGGTAAGCTAGCATAAAGTTTTATGGTAGCTTGTCGCTGTATGAAAGCCTCTATTAGTTTAGAAAATCTAGCTCAAGGATGATCACATGAAATCTAAGCATTGACTACGTTTTCCTGGCTCGATTTGTTTAGTTCATAAAAGTTTTTTGCGTCTTCCACAAAAATTATTTGTCACTTAGAATGTAGCACTAGCTATTGACATCATTAGGAGGCTGCGAACCATCTAGTAAGAGAGAATTAGTTTGTGGAACGAAATTAGATAATTCAAATTTGTCAATGTGACACTACCATTGACAGCACATGTCATTAGCATAAATGTCAGTATTTGCTTCTGTTAAATTCGAATTATGAACAGCTGCACGGCTGCTGTATGTTTTACTTTATCTATCTAACTTTTTCTTGTAAGTGATAGTGAGGTGTTCTATTTGTGTATAAAGTTACATTACTACTTGTGTTCTCTGGATTTGTAATTCAATTTACTCATGTTACTTCATTGAATAAACCAGAAAATTTCTGTTTCAGGATCTGACCTCAATCTCGTAAACAAAATTTTAAATCCTCTGCACTTAAATAAAATTGCTGATACATTCAGTAATCTTATCCAAACCATTGAAATAAATGGTCCTTGGACTTCAGCTTGGGTTGGAGAATCTGGTGGGGCCTTCAATAACGGAGGTCCTAACGTGTCTAACACCTTTGTGAACAGTTTTTGGTAAATTTCTTAGCTGACTTGATTTATTTTTTTCATTCAGTAATCAGTTATTTGTTTTTGTTCATGCTTTATCTTGACATGGAATTAAGGTACTTGGATCAGCTTGGGATGGCAGCCATTTATCACACTAAAGTATATTGCAGGCAGACTTTTATTGGTGGAAACTATGGGCTCCTTGACACAAGTACATTTGTCCCAAATCCTGATTATTATAGGTGAGACAATTGGCTGACCAATCCAAAGTTGATCTCTCAGAAAAAAGAACATTTTTCCTAATTCTAGTTATTAAATCCCTGATAATCTGATCCAAAATCTTTATCCTCGTCCTTCAACGAACACAGTGCACTTCTTTGGCATCGGCTGATGGGAAAAGGAGTTCTTGCTGTTAGCAACAATGCATCATCATATCTGCGCTCATATGCCCATTGTACAAGACATAGAGTAAGAGCCCCCTTGGATTCCTGAATCATTCACTTATAGAATTTCAGATGCATCATTTGGTTACAGATACATTAACCTTCACAGAAAGGAATTTGACTGTTTCCTGAAAAGAAGTCTTAAGCTTACACATGGAATCACTGTTCTATAACCCTTGTTCATCATCTATAGTAATATTATGACTTCTTGTGTTGCATTGAGTCCATCCACTTCTGGTCAATATAATTGTTTGTAGAGACTAAACTTCACACCTACTTTTAATTAGGGGAGATGCAATGAGAATCCAACTATATGAGCTCTGCATAGTCAGCTCAAGCCTGGATTAAGGAGGGTTGCGATAGGTTGGTTATCAGTATAAAAATAATCATAATAGGCTGAAACCTCTAGATATTGAAGATGGTATCCATGTTAGTGTTAAATAGGCAAGGTGTCCCATCACATCCCTGTCTGAGTGAGAGAGTTTATGCTAGTTCCAACACCATGAAAGGCCGATCAACGGAAAATTATTAGCATTGGAACGAAATGGTCTGAAATGAGCAAAAACAGATATATCTGATTCGTAGAGAGCCAAACTAAATAGTTTGAATAGAACAGATCAGAATGGGTATAGGGGATTCATGTAGCCGCTAATAGGATTGAGGTGTAGTTAGCGAAGCAAGCTGTTTTTCTTGATTATTATCATTTAGACCAATTCAAGTTGTAACTTGTAAAGACCATATGTTTAACACTTCAGAAGGAGTAATAATAGCAAGGCATTTTGTTTAAATGCTTTGAGGAGTTGATGCAATTCAGTCTCAACTAGTTTTTCTTTTCTATGATGCTGGTTCTCCCTTGTGCTTAGCTTGGTAATCGAGCTTACCACTCTTGAGATTCTCCTATGCTTCTTATATGTTGCTTAAGATAAACGAGCCAATCAAAATGGAGTAAAGAACACCTTTCTACTGAACCATTTGGTGGCATTTTGGTGAAGCCAGTTTCTGGTAGCTAATGTTCCCATTTTATTCTAGCCATACTGCAGTAACTTGGTTATTCTCATTGGTGTATATTCCATAAAAGCCTTCATATTAACATCCAATGATTTGCATTTCTTTGCTAGTTTTCAAGAAACCTTTCAGTTTTACTGGTGTTCCCTCTGTGCAGGCAGGTGTAACATTACTATTGATCAATCTAAGCAACCAAACTCATTATGGAGTCAACATCGAATCTAGTGTAAGCATCACCTCGCATGTCAAAGAGAAATCAAATCACAAGAGTTCTTTCGTGCAACGTCTTAAGAAAACTATTTCATGGGTTGGAAGAAAATCATCAGATGTTACATTATCACGAGAAGAGTACCATCTGACTCCACTAGATGGAAACCTTCAAAGCAGAACCATGCTCTTGAATGGAAAACCATTACAACTCACAGAAAATGGGCACATCCCAAGTTTGTCTCCAGTCCTTGTAAACCTGAAGTCTCCAATATCGGTTTCCCCCTTGTCCATCAAATTCATAGTATTCCCCAACTTTAGCTCTCCTGTTTGTACATAAGGATTAGGAGATACTTGTGCCTAATAGCTATAATCTGGCACTCTATCTATTCATACCTTAGTAATTGTATAATTGCTACAATAAACTGAGCTGCAAAATTTTATACAGTTATGTATTATATGGCTAGATAAATCCCTCCCCCTACTAGTGTTTCCAGGAACATGTATCTTGTCATGTAAGTTCTTTATCAACTCGCAGAATTAGATGTAATTTAGCTTCCTCTTGGTGCTTTTGGATCTTTTCATGGGACAAACTAAACAGTTTATATATAGGCTGTTATTGCTGTCTAGCAATCAGTTTTTATGCTCTCTTTGGATGTTGACAAAAAAGATAGTACATTTTTAAGGAAGTTTGACAATACAACTCTTATTAGTTTATTAATTTACCCAAGAGGTACTGGATGAATGGTTGATTGGAATAAAAAATGGATGTTGAGCATAAAGTACATTCAATCATGTCTTCACTCATCAAGCAGTAATTTTATTTGTGTTCCACGTTATTTCTCTACAACGGTCAAGTAGCAATTTTGTCGTCCTGCCTTCCAAATACCAGACAATTAACTTGGTTTACTGTCATAGAATATTGTAAAATTATAATACAAAGTAACATAAAATTACAGAAAGAAGCATTTGTGGAAAACTCAAGAATAGTTGAAATGATAAAGAACTGAAGTTAACGTCTGAAAGCTCATTAATAGGTTGCCACAACAGATGTCTCTACTGGTTTACTTTCCAAGCAAGCGCCGAATCCTCCGGTTGGCCCCTTGAACTCTGGTACCAAGCTCATCAACATCCTGTTCAGTATGATCCAATGCCTCTTTATGCCTGTAATATCCAATAGCATATACAGAATTCTTAGAAAATCTAGAGAACTTCTAGTGCTCAAGAGTTTTTTATTTTATTTGTTATATAGGACCAAGACTGGTTTAAATGAAGCGACATGAACAGTGAGAATTCATATAGTCGACGTCAACTTGCTTGGGATTGAGGCGTAGTTGTTACATATACATAATTCTAAGAAGCGACTAAGTAGCACAGTACTTTAACAGTGACAGTACAATAAGGAGATGGTGGAAGAGGGAGAGAACAAGGGAGGAGAGATTGGAATCTGCTTAAAAGAATTTTATAACACTAACCTCCCAATTTCAGATCCCATGTCAACAGCCATATTCTTGAGCTCCCCCAACAGATCGCTGAGTTCTGACAGTCCATCATCTTGCTTTGCTTTCTCGGCCTGTCAAATGTTCAAATGAAACAACAGAATTAGCTAACTGATATTAGTCATATTACATTTCATATTCATGAAATGAGGAAATAAAGAAAGAAGAAGAAAAAATGAGGAGACATTTCAGTGCTACCACTGGGCTTGTGGCCAATATGGAGAAGTCTAGTCTATTCTTAGCAGGTGTGACTGACAATGTGAAGGAGCAGCTCCTGGCAATTACTGGATTCACACAAGGAGTTTTTCCCATTAGATATCTGGGACTCCCACTCACATCAAAAAGGTGGGGAAAAATGGAATGCCATCAGCTAGTTGATAAAATAACAAGCAGGATCAAGTACACCTATGCAAAACAACTTTCCTATGCAGGCAGACTTCAAGTGATCTTGGCAGTCTTGTTCTCCATACACAGTTTTTGGGGCTCAGTGTTCATCCTACCTCAGAGTGTAGTGAAAGAGGTGGACAAGAAATGCAGAGAATATTTGTGGGGAGGTAATGAGGAAACAAGGAAAGTGTCATTGGTTTCCTGGGAGAAAATATGTTATCCAAAGAAGCAGGGTGGACTTAATATAAAAGGATGTCGTAAATGGAATGCAGCCTCTGTTGGAAAGCTCTTATGGCAATTGGTTATGAGGAAGGAATCCTTATGGGTGAAATGGGTGCATGGGATTTACATAAAAACTGATACAGTCTGGACTCACAAAGCACCAGTTGATAGTAGTTGGTACTGGAGGAAAATAAACTCCCTGAAAAATATGATGCAACAATGGTATACGCAAGGGCAGTTCAACCTTACAGCAAATGGGGAGTATTCAATTACAAGTGGATATAATGATCTGATAGGCAATCAAGAGAAACTTGAGGTGGCTGAATTAGTTTGGAACTCTGTCGTATTACCTAGGCAGAGGTTCTTTTTGTGGCTAGCAATGCAAAACAGATTGCTCACAAAGGATAGGCTGATAAATATGGGAGTATATGTAGAAGACAATAGCTGCTGCCTGTGTCAAAATGGAATGATAGAGTCGCATAAGCACCTGTTTGTAGAGTGTGAATATGTTGCAAAGGTGAGAGCTAAATTACTACAATGGGCCAACATCTTTATTCCCGCAAGAGAGTTAAAAACTACATTGGAGATGATAAAGTTGAAGCATTGGAAGAAGTTTAAGAAAGAGGTGGTGACTGCTATTTGGGGAGCAATAGTGTATCACATCTGGAAGGCAAGGAACTGGAAGCATTTCAAAGGAGTACAAATACAGTATACTGACATAGTGGAGGGAATAATTCGAGAACTTATAGTGAGGATAGACATGTATAAGAATACCAAAAGAGCACATAGATGTAGGAGTTTTTGGCAGAATTTATGCAAGTAGTTTGAGTTGATGAGGTCACTCCTCTAATACCAGTTAAGGTACTCAGGTTGGAATGCTCTTAGTTTGTAAGTTTTTGTTTGTTTGTTAATGGTAATTTTCACATTGGTTGCCAAAAAAAAAAATGAGGAGCACAGACATGCTCAATCCTCAATCTGGTAGTGAAGAATGAACAAGTTCATCACCACTAGGACTTAAAATTTATGACAGAACCAGTAAGAATCACCTCATAGGTCCAACACCCCAAAGCATAACAAAGAATGCAAACTTTTCAAGAACACTAAGGTACTGCAAGGATCACAGTGTTTTACTACTCTTGCTGTTTCACTTTTGGGGTTCCAAAAGGAAACTTCTATTAGAAATTCTCCAAACATTAGGCCACATTTGAAAATGGACTATGGCTCTTTCTAGAATTAAATCTTCCTATAAACAATGGAATATAATGACATAACTCTAGAATAAAAAAGAAATAGAAGAGAAATAAACATAAGCAATTTGTAATTTACTCTTAAACATGAATGTTAACTGGAAAATTGCATCTTGAGCGTTAGAGAGAAACATTAGATGAAAAGGTGTCAAAATGCCAGAAAAGTGGACGGCGAAGTGAGGAAAGATGCAGAAACGAAAATTTTCAAGCCACGGGCCTTAAATGTGACCAAAATTAATCAATAGTGTCCTGCTTGTTTTATAGTTGCAGGTTCCAGGTGTATTTGGATCTGGAGAACTTCCTTATTTAATTTTTTGTTTCTTTGAGGAGAATTATAGCAGTATTCTCTATTTTGTCCCGAGTCACATGAACATACCTCAACTTTCTGCAGAGCATTTGTAGGCTCTGGGGGTGGTGTCCTTGAACTTGACCTTGCCTTGGGTGCAGAGCTCAATCCTAATTTCTCCCTCTGCTCCAAGTGGTTGCCCCTTCTTTGAACTGGATCATCTGACACTGTGCACATTAACAGAGTATCAAACTAGCTATCTCAGTTGACTCAACCTTTCCGTTGCTACTACTTTCAAAATCCATCACTTTTCCCTCACGATCTTCAAATAATAGTAAATGAATAAGAAGAACAAAAATAAAATGAGTTACTTCTTGTGATAACGGGCCCTGTAATTGGGCGACTTGTCTTTGGCTTCCAAGTCTTAGAAAATATGCCTCCAAGACTCCCCAAGAGTTTTTCACCCTGAAATTAAGTTTCAAACATAAGTTTCAAAAGGATAACAGGTAACAATTGCAAAACAGTTGCAAAAAGCAATTAGATGCAAAACATGTAAGAGTTATTACTTTTTGTAATCAGTACATGTAATGAATAACTTATCAGTTCAAGAGAGTAAGCGATATCTTTAAGGGTGCAAGGACTTCTAGGTGAAAGGGTAAAAACAGACTAGTTATGTATAAATAAATCTACATCTCCTTCTAAAAGCAAAATGGACAATAGAATAAATTTCATCTTAAAACGAACGGATATGAAAATAAAAACCACCACCCAAACAGTAAATACATAAATAAATTAGAGAAGAAAGGTGCATCATGAAATGACTACAAAACCTAACAGAAACATAAAGCATACTAATATGGGCTTTTAATTAAAGATAATTATGTAAAATGTTAGATCGCAATAATGTTTGCTTCTGCGAACTAGAAAAAAACTTATATGAGTGAACTAATCAAGTCATACCCGGCTAAGATCATGGTCGATATCTGCTGCAGTCATATGGGTTCTTGTAATTTGTTCTCCCTGTTGATGTAAAGTTATCAAAGTTTTTGTTGCATCCTCTCGCATGTCTTGTGCAATCTTCAGGCAGCTATTAACAGATTTTGTAGTCTCTTCTGACCTGTAGACGGCATAGTTTTCCAACTCGTCTACAGTTTGGTTCTCAAATCCTCCAGACTCCCGGAAATCGTTCTTGTATTTATTTCTTGCCGTCAAAGTTGAGTAAGCATGTGAAGGAGTCTCTTTAATTTCATCATCATCAAAAGGGTTTGTACTCAAATTTGGGGTAGCTGCAGAAGGCTCCGATGATATTCTCCTGGATGGTTTTACAGTTTGCTTCTTGTCCGACTCATCGTCAGAATCAAAGGGATTTGATCCAGAATTACTATGGGCCACAGGATCCGCAGATTTTTTTCTAGCACTCCAATGTAAAGGAGACTTCTTAAGACCATGCATTTTTTTTATAGATAGAAAGTAATCCCACAGGGATGGACCTCCTAGATTAAGAAATTATCTGCAGAAAGAGACAATCAAACTATTAAGCGAAGTTTATAATAGAGACAACTGATAGTTTGCTACTGTGAGACACGTACAAGGAGGCAATTCAGTTTCAGATCACAACAGAACATTGGCTAGAAGATAAGAGATCAGGAGCAGACAACATGCAAAAGATAGCAATAAAGACTCAAACCAAGCTTTGTTCAGAGAGTAGTACTAATAAGAGAAGTCTAAAATCAAGTATGCAATACTAATAGTCTAATATAATACTACAACAAAAACAAGAACAACAAAGAACTGCATCTCGATCCCAAGTGCTTCCTATTCATTTGCGGGGCCAGAACCGCGGGCCCTCTTTTTTTTTGGTGATCTCGAGAATCAACCAACGGAAAGATCCATAGCCCAGGTGACTCACAGCCTCCCTCTCACCCAA